TTTAACGCAAATACAGCCTCCATAAACCTGGTAAGGGTATGTTAACCAGGAGTTTAGATCAGTCAAGGATGAAGATCTGGATCAGCCCACAAGGCAAGCCAGCAGAAGTGAGGGAAATCAAGAATGGGTGGAGAGGAGGGACCAGCCAGAGCAGTGGGAGCTGGAGTGCATTCCACCAACTATTCTCCTGAAGGTTCCTCTGGAATTATGACCGTGGAGTCTTGGAGAAGCTGTGCCTGGATGGAGTGAACTTAATATGAGAAGCAAGATCTGAGTAGTGTAATGAGTGGTCTGCCATGGACACTATAATGCACTCCCCAGGTCCCTTTTCTCAGGCCAGCACATTTTTGGAGCTGTTCACAGCTCGCAACTGCTTCCTTCTTAGGAGAACAGCCCACCGCTAAGTGACCTCCATTATAAACCCCCATCCCTGCTGGGGCAGCCCAGAGTCAATGACTGACTGATGCAGAGACATAAAAGCTGGCCCCTTTGATCAGAGGGACGACTCAGTGACTCAGTGCCAATTATGCCCCAGATCCTCACACTATGATCTGGCCCCTGTGCCTTACCTGAGATCACACTCTTGCTGAGTTTTCCCCTTTCCTATCCTGCTTTACTCACTCCATCCCAATTTTTTCAGAAAGAGCTCCCCCTCAATAAATCACATCCTAGGCTTATCCAAATCCCTAACTCAGGCTCTGCTTTTACAGAACCACACCTAAGACAGAGATGGAGTAAAATAAATCAGGGAACAGGGACAGGGAGTGGGTGGGAGAAGGAGGGAAAGTGAGATTTATCTTTAAATAGGATGCTCAGGAAAGTCCTCCCTGGGATGGTGACCTTTGAGAGGAGACTTAAAGAAAGTGAGGGAATGCACCATTAGGCTATTTGGGAGAAAAGCTTTGAGGGTGCAAGAGCTGGCACAGGAGTGGGTCTGGAAAATTTCAGTAAGAGTACAGAGTGTGGCTGGAGTGGGGCAAGGCAGAAAAAGAATGTCAGAAAAGAAGTTAGAGAGACTTCTCAAGGTCCTACAGATCACATCGCACCTTGAGGGCCGTTGAAAGGACCCTGGCTTTAATTCTGAGTGAAGTGGGAAACCAATGGGGAGGTTTTGACCAGGGGAGAGATGTGATCTAACTTTCTTTTAATAGCATCACCCTGGCTACAAGGGTGGAGCCAAGCTGCCTGAGGTTGTGCAGGCAGAGAGTAAACGATGTCGCAGCATTTGGAACCCACACTCGCCTGATTTCAGAGCCTGCTCTCACACGCCTGCCTTTGTCGATGGAACAGACAAGGCACATCTGTACATATGTTCAATACACAACTGCTGAATGCTGAGGATGGACACAACACAAATACTGGTTCCATCTCTTTAAAGGATAGATATAAATATATCTAAGGATATATATTACAAGGAGACCAGACTCTCCCTCAGTTTCCCTTGGGGAAAGTCTTCAATACTACAACTGATTAGGAGAAAAGACCATACTTGCCATAAGATCCAGAGGTTGCTGGCTACACTGCAGCCCAAAATAACTCCCTAAACCTAAAATTGATCATTAAATTTCAAGACAGTAAGTGAGAAGAGCAAAGACAGTTAGAGAGGTAACATAGTGTAATGACTAAGAATGGTGGGCAGAGAACATCTTACCTGAAACCCAGCTCTGCCTCTTTTTTTTTTGGTGAGGAAGATCAGCCCTGAGCTAACATCCATGCTAATCCTCCTCTTTTTGCTGAGGAAGACCGGCTCTGAGCTAACATCTATTGCCAATCCTCCTCCTTTTTTTTTTTCCTTTTTTCTCCCCAAAGCCCCGGTAGATAGTTGTATGTCATAGTTGCACGTCCTTCTAGTTGCTGTATGTGGGACGCGGCCTCAGCATGGCCGGAGAAGCAGTGCGTGGGTGCGCGCCCTGGATCCGAACCCGGGCCGCCAGCAGCGGAGCGTGCACACTTAACCGCTAAGCCACGGGGCCAGCTCCCAGCTCTGCCTCTTATAAGCTGTGTGACCTTGGGCAACTTAACCTCTCTGTGCCTCAGCTTCCCGATCTGTAAAATTGTGATTATAATAGTCCCCACCCCAGAGGGTTGATAATAGAATTAAATGACTCTACAGTGCCTGGAACAGACTGTTTGCCATTATTATTTTCTTACACATAAGCAATTAGAGGACACCCTTATTGTCATTTAAGTTGAATAAATTGCACGTCACATAGAGACAGAGATTGGATTGGTGGTTACCAGAGGGGACGGGGGGGTGGGAGGAGGGCGAAAGGGATAATTTGGCACATGTGTGTGGTGATGGGTTATAATTGGTATTTGAGTGGTGAACATGATGTAATCTATGCCGAAATAGAAGTATAACGATGTACACCTGAAATTTATACAATGTTATAAACCAATGTTACTGCAATAAACAAAAATTAAAAAAAAAGAAAGAAAGAATGAAAATAAATAAATAAATAAATAAATTGCATGTCAATTTCTGGACATTAATTTCCAAATTTAATGCCTTCTATGTCATCTGTTCCAATACTGGACTATAAATGAATGCATCGTCTTTCTTCCTACTCTTCTAAAATATTATTGTACCTTTAGCTGATAAAATTGTTCAGCTGTTTTTTATCAGTGACTGTTCTTCAAGAAGGTTAATGACGCCTGGCTGTAACCAGCCCCGTGTGTGAACTTCAAATGCTTCCCTGTGCGTTTGCCACTCCCCTGACCATGAGGAACACTCCGTAAATAAAATGCACCTCAAGAATTCCATTTAGATGATGATCTCTGTCTCAAACATTATTAGACATCTACGATTTATACTGCTTGCTAAGTTAGAAAGTCGAGGTTTCTAACTTCCCAATATTCTTGTCCCTTATGAAACAGAAAACAGTTCTTTGTGATTTTATTTTTTTTTACGTTGGATTCTGTCAACTGGTTTTACGTGAAAAATCAACAAAGAGAGGGAACGTCCATTATATGCCAGGCTTTCAGTAAGGCACTTTATGTATAATTATCTTACAGACTTGAGGTTCACACCAATTGTGTGGCAGAGTTGATTTTGCTGAAGGAACCCTAATTCTGAAGGTCTGCTCAAAGATCACTAGAGCTGAGGATCAACTGGAACACCAGTCGATTAATGCCTTTTTTCCTTCCTCTGCCAATAATTTCTCTCCAGGGATCACTGAGAGAAGGAATTCGAGTTTGGCTTTATTTTTTCTAAAGCCATTCTACAATTACGACAACAATGATAACATATAGCGTGCATTTAGTGCATTCTCTATCTCCAGCACCGTGTTAGCCGTTTTTCTTTTGTTCCGTGATGCAATTCTGAGGAAACTGTTCAGATTCCTAAACACATAGCTCGATTTTGGGTTGAGGTCACACAACTTGGAAATTACTAATTTTGTTAAATCCCTAAGCAAACCAATCTGGCAAATAAAAGGATCTTCAAGTGGATCATCTAATCAAACAGAACAAAATGAGCTCTTAGGATAAGGCTCCTATTAAAAAAAATTAAATTTCAAAAAAGCAATTAAACTTAAAGTCAGAAAAGGAAATTCCTAAGTACTCTTTTGTTGAGTATTTTAAAACCAAGGCACAGAGTTTGGTGATTATAATGATGACTATAGTCCAAAGTCATGGTTTTTATTCCTGACTGTCAGATTCCTTTGTCATCACTTGAATATGCCAATTAAACCATTGTGCCTTCCTTTTGCATTTTTAATCAAATGAACACCACCGTAATAAGACGTTACCTGGGGAAGGCTCACCAGAAGGACAAAACATTCTTAAAAGAAAAGGTTATTATATCACTTCCTATGTTTGGCTGGTTTATCCTACTATCACTGAGCTAGGCTTTCATCTATACACGATAATTCAGTGTAGGTCTGATTGAAACCTTTTGGTTTTTAATTACTACATTAACAGGTGGCCAACCCAGTTCTCTTACTATGAAAGTTCATCGAGAGAGATAATGGAAAATTTAACACTGACAGGATCCCTGTGTTATAAACTACAAGAAATGGAATGAATTTCAGTGTGCCTAGAAATAGTCCTTTAAATGCTAAGGTTTTTAAATTCAAATGATAACATACAAAAGTTAAAAGGAGATGCCAGGTGGCATTTCCACTCATCGGGATTAGAAATACTCATTCAAACACATAAAAATCTTATCAAGGGTATTTTTCACATTTGTTTGTATCAGAGAGATTAAAGGAGTCATTTTACCGTGTACATAAGGACCGCTCATTGATTCATCTATAAAACCTAGGAAGGCATTTAATATGTCTACAACAAATCAGGAATCAAAATGTCATAACAATTCATTCACTTATGGCAAACTCTCCTTCCAATAAGAATATATTTTACTCTAAAAAAAAAGATCTTTTGGTTTGGACAAAAACATTCAATTCAATGATAGTATTTAATATTTTCCCACTGGAACTATGTAAGATTTTCTGCTTTAAAGAATACTAATTTTTTCAGTTACCTTCTTCAAACTGTTGTGTAACTATCCTTCTTTTTGAAAACTACACAATCAGGAACCACTTTGTATAGTCCACATAACAAGGTAAACAATTTGCAACTGGCTAATTTTTACTCACAGTGAAAAATTCTTTAAAATTATTTTAGCTCAAACCATTACCATATAAAGTGGTTTCTGATTTTGTCATTACTATTGGGTTAACCTGACATATTATCTTCTTAAATCTTTTCTAATTCAATGGCAAACACACAATATGCAATATCACATCTCCAGTAAGTGCTGCTCCTGCTGTATAAGCGGAATGCTTGTCTTAGTATTTTCCTAATTCAACCCTATACTTCTGATGCATCTTTTCTTCCTCCAGGCATAGTCTGCTGGAGCTGGAAGGGGCTCCAGAAACCACCTAATCTGACCCACTCCCTGCTTTTTAAAATGTGGCTTTAAAAAAAGCAAAGTCTCTCAAACATTGGCAAAGTGTAGGTACTCAGAAATAAACCTAAAGTTTGCATTTAAACTTTACCTTCGTAAAATCCCCAACGAATCTCCCACGGCGTTCTTCACTCCTTCCTTTCCAGGTTTCAAAAATTTTTCTTTGAAAGTATCAAATGCTTTAAAAGGCATTTTGAACGGGGGGCACATCCAAGCCATTAACAGTCAGTCTCAGAAACTGTCATCCTTTCTCATTTCCAGCGTGAGGACCACTCTGCTTTCCTTGATGAACACCTTGAAGTCACTTCTCAAGGAGGTTACTTAAAATCAAAAAGGAGATGAAACCCAGCCCAGATCTTTCAAGATGAGACAACTCCCCTCCTCCCCAAAAAAAGAGGCCAAGGGGTGTCTGGCTGGGAATTCAGCCCTTTGAAAAGCTACTCAGCAGCAGCCTGTCGTGCTGTCTCAGGCAGTCCCTCTCAGGCTGAGCACAGCCTCGCTCCCTCCCTGGGGCTGCAGCTGGAGAAGCTGAAGTGGGCTCCAGCCCACGAGGTGTCCGGAGACCAGCAACAGCATCTGCGGCCTATCTCCAGCCCCTCCTGCTGCTTCTGACCACGTCCCCCTCCCGCCTCACTCAGCTCGGCTGTGGCTCTCCCTGAGTGATCTTTTGCAAGGTGATGATGCTATAGTAACCGGCACAATACCTGCCCCTCAGCTGCTGGGGCTCATTAATGGGCTCTCAGCCAGAGCAGGCACCCACGGTGAAGTGGGTGAAACATTCACAAGTCCTCTGCTTTTCTGAGGTCTGGCCCTGCAGACAGGCTCTCAGCTACCACATTATGCCTCTTATGCCCCTCAAGGGAGCCACGAAACAGTTTTTCAGCCCGATACTAGTATGGATGTGGTCCTTGGAGGAATACTTGCACTTGAGGAGACTAAATGCAAAACCCAGACCACAAACTTCTAGGAGGGCATCTATTTGCTCCTGATCAACAGAGCAGGATCTCTCAAGGTGTGGTGCATGGGTGCATTGGGACCACCTAAGTGAAGATACCTGAGGCGGTCCTAGAACCTGCTTAGAACTCTTCACTGGTCCTTATTGTCCTCAGGATAAATCCAAGTTCTTTATCACGGCACACAAGGCCCTCCATGGGACCCCAGCCTTGTTTCTTGTCACTCTGCTCTTCATATCAGCACTTCACTCAACTCAGCAAGCTCCTTATTGCCCCTGGGGTTTATCCAAGCTGTACTTTCTGCCTGCGTAACTCTCCTCACCCTTCATCTGGGTAACTTCAAGGGATTCTTAAGTCTCACTGAGACATCACATCCTCTAGAAACCCTCATAGACAAGGTTAGGTGTCCCTCCTCCATGCCTCCAAATCACCAGTCCTCTGCCCCAGTAGGACCTGGCATGTAGTGGTATAACATAAATCATTGTTAGACTGGGGTTGAAACATTGCATGTTGCTCCCACATATATGGGCAGTAGGATGACACCTCCATAAATGATGCTGCCATGAAGAAACTACCTTCATCTGCGGGGCTCCAGTGCTCCAATCCCCCAGCCTACACAAACAAACCCTGTGCTTTAGGCTCTCAGATTCCCCAGGAGTCATTTCCACAGGACCAGTCACTGCCCTCTGCAAGCTGCAGTCCAAATCTTTCCCCAAGATTTGAATTAAATTGATCTAAATCAGAGCTGGATCCTTGGTAGGTTAAATACTACTACCAACTATTATTATTATTATTATGGCTAATATTTACTGAGCTCCCTCTAAGGTCCAAACTCTGTGTTAAGCACTCTTTATGTATTATCATCATCTTCCCAACACTGCTTTGTGGTTAGTAATTTATTATTTTCCCCAACTTGACTGAAAGGAAACTGAAGCAAAGAGAGATTCGACTTGCCAGGTTTCAGATCCAAACAGGCTGGCTCCAGCCAGCCCTGTTCTCATTCCCTCTCTTTCTCTCTCCTGTGGCCCACCATTCCCACTACCTCTTCTTACTTTACTGAGGTATATTTTGCATATCATATAGTTCACTCATTTCAAGTGGCCAATGATTTTTAGTAAATTTACCAAGTTGTGCAATCATCACCATAAAGCACAAAGCAGATAGAACAATAAGATTCCTCATATTCACCATTAATCCTCATCTCCCACCTCCCACATTGCCCCAGGCAACCATCAATTTATTTTCATCTCTATAGATTTGCCTTTTCTAGACATTTCACGTTAAGTGGAATCATACAATATATGATCTCTTGTCTGGTTTCTTAGTATAATGATTTTGATGTTTGTTCATGTCATAGCTTGTATCAGTAGTTTGTTCCTCTTTTCATTCTTTTCTGTGGAATATTTCATTGTATGGACATACCACATTGTGTCTATCTATTGACCTGTTGATGGACATTTAGGTTGTTTCCAATTTCTGGCTATTATGAATAAAACTACTAAGTACATTCGTGTGAAAATCTTTGTGTGGATGTCTCTTTTCACTTCTCTTGAGTAATAAATACCTAGGAGTGGAATTGCTGGATCATATGGTAAGTGTAGGTTTAACTTCTCAAGAAACTGCCAAATTATTTTCCGAAGTGGCTGTACTATTTTACCTTCCCACTGGCATACCTGAGGGCTTCCATTTCTGCACATCCTCACCAATATTTGCTGTCTGTCTTTTTTAGTATAACCATTCTAGTGGGTATGACATGCTATCTCATTGTGGTTTTAATTTGCATTTCCCTGATAACTAATGACACTGACCATCTTTTCATGTGCTTATTAGTCATTTGTGTATCTTTTTTGGTGACATTTCCTTCAAATATTTTGCCCGTTTTTAAATGGGTTTTTTTTATTGAGGTGTATGAGTATATGAGTATATATTCTCAATACAAATCCTTTATCAGACATGTGATTTGCAAATATTTTCTTCCAGTCTGCTGCTTGTCTTTTCATTTTCTTCATGCTGTATTTTGAAGTGCAAAAATATTTAATTTTGATGAGGTCCAATTTATCAGTTTTTTCCTTTAGACACTGTGCTTTTGTTCATATATCTAAGAAATCTTTGCCTAACCTGAGGTCTTGAAGATTTTCTCCTGCTTTGTCTTCTAAAAGTTTTATTGTTTTAGCTCTTACATTTAAGTCCATGATTCACTTTGAAATCATTTTTACATATGCATAAAATTCATTTATGTGAAGTAAACACCTAAGTTCATCTTTTTCCATATGGATATCCAGTTGTCCCAGCACCATTTGTCAGAAAGGCTATCCTTTCTCCAGTGACTTGCCTTGGCACCTTTGCCAAAAATCAGTTGAACATATTCATCTGGACTCTCAATTCTGTTCTGTTGATCTTTATGTCTATCCTTACGCCAGTAACATATAGTCAAGTCTTTACCTGTCTCCAAAAAGCTTGCTCATCCGTCAAAAGCAAATACAATCAAAATATGATAAACACACTCTCTCGCTACAGAAAGCATCTGCTGGTGGAGCTTCTAACTCCTTCCTCGATCCCCAGATAACCCTAGGTTACTAATCTCTTAGAGCACTCAATGGAAGCACTACTAGACAAAGACCACATGAATCTCTCTTAAGGGTCAAAGACTGCTAAGAGCACTAACCATTCCTGCAGAATGTGTTGCTCATGAAACATACCTGTATCTACAAAAGTGTTTTGGTGGCGATTTAGATGGTTGATGATAATAATAACTAACATTTATGGAGCACTTTCTAAGTCCCAGACTTGAAGCACTTAACTCATTTAATACCCACAGTGAGGTAGTCTGAGGTAGGTACCATCATTATACCATCTACAAATGAGAAAACTGAGGTACAGAGAGTTTAAGTAAATTTGCTCAAGTTCACACAACTAGGACACTAAGCAGAGATGGCATATGGACCCAGGAAGTCTGGCCTTAGAGCCTGTACTCTTACCTTCTACACTAGAGCTGTTGATAACAAAGACAGGAAAATATAAAACCAGACTTGTCAGAACGGAGGCTCATTTTATTCATTTATTCATTCATCCCTTTTCTTGAGGGCCTACTACGTGGCAGGCCCTTTTGAGGCACTGGTGATATAGGTTGAACTGTGATATTCCCTTTGAAGAAATAAACTAGAAAATGAATGAGTCCATGACAGTGTAGTGAGTGCCACATATGGGATTATGGGAGCGCAGACAAGGACACCTAACTTAGCTTGCAGAAGGGAGTGGGAGAGGGCTTCCTAGATGAGGGGATGGTAGTGTAAGCTTTCAGGAATGAGAAAGAGTGAGGCAAACAAAAGAAAAAAATGTGGGAGCAAAGACTTGCATGAGAGAGCATGGCACCTGGGAGAACTTTGCATCGATTCAGAGAGTTGGGTGAGTTTGCCATGTGGTGGAAAACAAGGTGGAGAGGTGATCTTGAGCATTATATAATTCAGTTGTTAGAGAAGAGCATTAAAATATGTGCTCCCCATCTCAAAATATCAAATATAGCAAAGATAGAGGAAATTAGAGAAGAACCCCTTGGGGGGCTGTGGAACAAAAGCTTTGGTCTATGCTGGGAATATGTAGAATGAATATACTCTAGAAAAAATTCCAGCCATTGAGATATGTTTGATGACTTCCCATCATTCTATATTAAAAAAAGCCTCTTCCCTTAAAGAAAAATAATATTAACTGACACATCTTTAGGGGTGCTTGCCCAGATCAAAGCAATTCCTCATTCTCAGGGAACTTCCAGTGTCCCCCACTCCTCTCCCCTTTTATGGGGACAGGCCTCCAAAAGTCCTGTAGGTACGATGTTTCCCATCTCCTCTGACCACTGTTGGATGGACCAGGGATGGGCACCTGCACCAAGCTGAGCCAGCCAGTCAGACGCAAGAGTCTCCTGTAATTTAACTTTGAAATTGAAAGACTGCTAATTAATTTTGCAGGACCTATAACTGTGGAGTGGCTACATTCACCTTATGGATTGGAGATGCCGAGAACACTGGTCTGGCAAAGTGTGAGAGGAATGAAACTTGACCAGAATGACAGTGTCTGTGTTTCTAATGGCCTTCCAGTTCTTGTCTGCCTAGACCCAGCTATCCTTCTACCCTTGGGTTTCATGAAATACTCACATCCTCATAACAAATTGCCCTCTGTTAGTTTACGCTAGCTAAGATAGTTTCTCCTCCTCACAGATAAAGAACCTTGACTATTGCCCTGATTTAAAACCCAAATCCTGTAATGCCAAGACTGCCTCTACCTAACATCATGTGGGCAAGCCCGGCCAGTTCGATGATAGGTAGGACTCCAGTCTCCAACAGTGAAGAAAGTGGAGTTCATAGGCTGGTCATGAGCCAAGTCATTCCAATCTGCTATCTAGACAGTAAGAAAAAGCAAACAAACAAATCCCAACCAACCTGAAGATAATATTTATTCCGGAAAATAATTTTATCAAATCCGATCAAAGCGTTAGGTGGAGAGTTTTAACCAGGCTCAGAGCTAATGACCAAGTTATTCATCTTTTTGGATAAGAAATTTCATAAGGAAACAAAGGTAACAGAACTAAGCATCTTGAGGTTCCTTCTCTCCTGAATTCTGTGGCAGCTCTTCCAGCCAACTCCTTTCT